GATCTGGGAACTGTGTCCCTGTGTCCCTCTAACCCCACATCCCAATTTCCCAGGATTTGGGGCACTTTTCCCCACCAGGGGGGAACCTCATCTCCAAGCCTGAAAACCCCGGAGCGATTCCCAATCATTTCCTTCTATCCCAGATTCCTAAAATCCCAACTCATGGATCTCCCTGAGCAGGGGAGAGGGAGGGAACTGGGGCAGGAAGCACCAGATCCCAACTCAGCCAGACTGGAAAGGAAAGAAGAGCAGAAAATTCCAGAGCAATTCCCAGAGCCAGGGCAGGATGGAAACAGCGCCGCTTCCCAGGGAATTCCACTCAGTTTTCCCTCCTATTTTTAGCTCCAAATGACCCATTTTTATATAAAATCAATCCAAATGAGGAGAGAGAAGCTGCTTTTTCTGCCCTTGTTTTGGGTTCAAGGTCCCTCTGGTGCTCCAGGAATGTGGAGTCACCTGGAAAACTGGTGATGGAAGATGGGAACTGGTCCTTGATCCGTGGAAAAAAAGTGGGAATTTAGGTTGGGGGGGAGAAAGGGGTTGGAGATGCAAAGTGCTCGTTAGCAAGCAGCTAATGAGTGGGAATGATTGCCAGGGGTTTAGGGATCTGTTGGTCCTGGGATTCCCAGAATGCAGCGGTTTCCATCCCATCAGAAGAGCCACAGAAGGATCCGGAGCCGCGTTCCCGCCGGGAACAACCCTTGGGAACAGCCCTCTAACCTGCCCCAGCATGGATTTGGGGGGGGTGATGGCCACGGATTTGGGGGCCAAATTCCTTCCAGGAATCCTGAGTTCATCCACTGGCATGCCTGGAAACTGCAGGACCTGCCCACGATTCCCACACTCCGGGAACGCCCGCGATCGGCGGAACCTCCCCGGGGGGGGGAAGAATCCAGGTGGGTAAAACCCATGAAGCCAAGGTGGGAAACCTCCCCAATTTTGGTGGGATCTGGGTTTGGGGGTTTTTTTGGATGATTTAGGGCTGTTTTGAAGTGGAGGGAGAATGAAACCCCCAGGGAGAAGGGGCAGGTTGGAGCTGCTGGTTCCCGCTCCGGCGGGAAGCAGCGCCGGCGGGTCCCTTGGCCGTGCATTGTCGGACCGTGTGGATCAGCTCCTGGATCACCAGGTCCACACACTTGAGACAAGGTTCCTTCAGCTGCACCACCTGCTTCTTGACTATGGCCTCGAATGCCAGGTCTGGGGTGAAGAGCCCAGTCCTGGGGGAGCACCAGGAACATGGGAAAGGGTTGGGAAATGGGGGGGGAAAAACGAAGAGAAATGAATAACATGGGGGTTGGGGGTGGGGAGGGGAAACCAACCAAGGAACCCAACAAAAATGGGGGTTGGGGAAGGAGAAAGTACCCAAAACCCAACAAAATGGGGGATTGGGGTGAGGTGGGGAGGGGAAACCAATCAAAAAAACCCAACAAAAAGGGGGGTGGGGGAAGGGGAACAACAAAAATGGGGGTTGGGGAAGGAGAAAGTACCCAAAACCCAACAAAATGGGGGATTGGGGTGAGGTGGGGAGGGGAAACCAATCAAAAAAACCCAACAAAAATGGGGGTTGGGGAAGGAGAAAGTACCCAAAACCCAACAAAATGGGGGATTGGGGTGAGGTGGGGAGGGGAAACCCAACCAAAAAACCCAACAAAAATGGGGGTTTTGGAAGGAGAAAGTACCAAAAACCCAACAAAATGGGGATTTGAGGGAGGAGGGGAGGGGAAACCAACCAAAAAACCCAACAAAAATGGGGGTTTTGGAAGGAGAAAGTACCAAAAACCCAACAAAATGGGGATTTGAGGGAGGAGGGGAGGGGAAACCAACCAAAAAACCCAACAAAAATGGGGGTTTTGGAAGGAGAAAGTACCAAAAACCCAACAAAATGGGGATTTGAGGGAGGAGGGGAGGGGAAACCAACCAAAAAACCCAACAAAAATGGGGGTTTTGGAAGGAGAAAGTACCAAAAACCCAACAAAATGGGGATTTGGGGGGGTTGGGGAAGAGAAAACAACCAAAAAAGCCAACAAAATGAGGGTTGGGGGAGGGTAGAGAAGAGAAACCAACCAAAGAACCTAACAAAACATGGGTTGAGAAGTTTGGGTCATGGAGAAACTGCCAAACCAAAGCCCCAACTGATGACTTGGGGGGGTTGGAAGAAGGAAAACCAACCAAAAACCCACCAAAATGGTGACTGGGGGGTTGGGGGAGGGAAAACCACCCAAAAACAATGAAAAAAAGGGAGATTGGGACAGTTTGGGCCAAGAAAAAACCAAGCAAAAGAAGCAGGGAAAAGGGCAGCTCCCACGTGGGGAGGTTGGGATCCTGGTGGTTGAGTTGGGACCTTCTCCCCATCCTGGGGTTGGGCAGGAGAAGAGGGATGGTTGGAGGGACATGGAGGTGACCCTGGAATTCCCTCCAAGCCCAGGAATGTGTCTGAGCTTGGGAAGTGTTGGATCCAACCGGTGTCACCGTCCCTGTCCCATCACACTCAGCTGGTGGGGTGGGATGGAACCAGCCCCTGGAAGACCTTCCTGACCCTAAACCAACTCCAAACAAGACCTTCCAAATCCAAAAAGGGCTCCAGAAAGACTTCCCAGACTCTGAATGATCCCGTAGAAGATCTTCCAAGGCCAAATCAACCCCAGAAAAGACCTTCCAGACCCAAACTGACCCCAGAAAAGACCTTCCAGACCCTAAACCAACACCAGAAGGACCTTCCAGACCCTAAACCAACTCCAGAAGGACCTTCCAGACCCTAAACCCACTCCAGAAGGACCTTCCAGACCCTAAACCAACTCCAGAAGGACCTTTCCAACCCAAACCAATCCCAGAAAAGACCTTCCAAGCCCTCAACCAAGGCCAGAAACCACCTTTCTGACCCAAACTACCTCTAGAAAAGACCTTCCTGACCCAACCCAACTCCAGAAAAGACCTTCCCAACCCGAAATGCCCCCTGAAAGACCTTCCCGACCCATCCCAAACCCAGAGAAGACCTTCCCAACCCATCCCAAACCCAGAGAAGACCTTCCCAACCCATCCCAAACCCAGAGAAGACCTTCCCAACCCATCCCAAACCCAGAGAAGACCTTCCCAACCCATCCCAAACCCAGAGAAGACCTTCCCAACCCATCCCAACTCAACAACCAACTTGCCTCACACCGTGGATGTTCTTGATGGCGTAGCTGATCTCCCTCCTCAAATCCTTCTCATCAAACTCCATCTGCAGAAGAAGGAGACCCATGGAATCCCCCTTGTCACCCTCAGTTGGTGGCTCCAGGGCATCCAGCTCATCCCACCCACTTCCCAGCAGGAACCAGCTCCCTGGGACAACTTCACCTTCACCAGCTCGAAGGGAAACCTCTCGTGGAAGATGCGGTTGATCCGGGCACCTCCAGAGAGTTCCAGCGTGTCCACCTGGTCTCCTGAACCTTCAATCCTCTTCTCAAAGTCCACCCCGAACTGCTGGACCATTCTGAGGAGAAAAGGTGGGATTGAAGGGATGGGAAGATGGATCCTGAGCCCAAACTGCTCCATTCTGGGCAGTGACAAGGGACAGGGACACGGGATGGTCCCTCAGTGGCAGCTCAGCACAATTGGAGGTGGCAGGAGCCACCAAGCTGGGACTAATGAACCTCCAAAGGAGCCACCAAGTCATGACTGATGAACCTCCAAAGGAGCCACCAAGTCCTGACTGATGAACCTCCAAAGGAGCCACCAAGTTGGGACTGATGAACCTCCAAAGGAGCCACCAACTTGAGACTAATGAACCTCCAAAGGAGCCACCAAGTTGGGACTGATGAACCTCCAAAGGAGCCACCAAGTTGAGACTAATGAACCTCCAAAGGAGCCACCAAGTTGGGACTAATGAACCTCCAAAGGAGCCACCAAGTTGAGACTGATGAACCTTCAAAGGAGCCACCAAGTTGGGACTAACGAGCCTCCAGATTCATTAACTCCATCACCAACCACCTTGCTGCCTGGGAGAGGGAACTTCCCGTGCCAGGAGGAACCTACTGGAGCAAAGCTTTGGTTTTCCTGGTGGGATCATCAGGACGGAAGTTCTTGTACTCCTCCACCTCCTTCTCCAGGGAGAGCAGCTGGCTCTGGAGTTTGCTGCGCAGCGACGGCAGCGACTCCCGGATGTGGTTGGTCAGTTGCTGGAAGAAGAACGGGAAGATCCTTCGGGATCGGCCCTTTCCCATTGGAGATCAACCCACCAGGATGGACAAATCCCTTGGGAAGGGGGAAGCCTACCTGGTTGAGGACCTTCTGCAGGTGGGGGGTGCCCATCCTGTCGGCCATGTGCCTGTAGGCTGGGTGGGACAGGAAGAACTTCCTCTCGGCGGCCAACGCGGCCCTGATGTCCTTCTTGCCGTCGATGTCCTTCTGGCTCCGGTTGACAACCCCGACGTAGCCTGAGGGAGGAGGTGGTGGCTCCTGGTGGGGTTGGGTTCCCAACCCAACCGTGGGGAAAAGGGCAGGACAGAGGGTCCCACCACCCCTGGGTGAGCCAAAGCTTTGGTGGCTCCTCCTACCTCGCCGCAGGGGGAGCAGCTTGTTCTCCAGCACGTCCCGGGCGTCCGTGCCCTCGTCCATCAGGTCCAGTTTGGTGATGACTCCAATCGTTCGTAGCCCTGGAGAACCACAGACCAGGCACTGATTGACCTCCCAAACGAGGCATTGATTGCATTGATTGACCTCCCGGACCCAGGGGATGGGTTGATCCACCTCCCAGCCCCACGGGGATAGGTTGATCCACCTCCCCGACCCAGGGGATGGATCCACCACCTCCCCGACCCATGGGGATGGATCCACCACCTCCCAGGCCCCCAGGATGGATCCACCACCTCCCCACCCCACAGGGATGGATCCACCTCCCAGGCCCAGGGAATGGATCCACCTCCCCAACCCAGGGGGAGGGATCCACCACCTCCCCGCCCCAGGGGGGGGGGTCCACCACCTCCCAGGCCCAGGGAGAGGGATCCACCACCTCCCAGCCCCAGGGGGAGGGATCCACCTCCCAGCCCCAGGGGGAGGGATCCACCTCCCAGCCCCAGGGGGAGGGATCCACCTCCCAGCCAATCCCATGGCACATCACCAAAGGACACTCGGCCCCAGAACTCCTGGCCCCTCCTCAACCACCAGAGGATGGACACTCCTCACTGAGATGAAGAGGAAGGACAAGAACCCCCCTCCCCAGCTCCAAAACCAGCAAAGGCTTCAACACTTGCAGGCAGCTCAACACCTCCCCCTTACCTTGAGGATCAACTTCTTTGGCCATCTTGAGGGCATCTGAGTTGGCCAGGTCCATGTTGGCCGGCGTGACCGCCAGGATCAAGCTGCTCTCCCTGCTGATGAACTGCAGGATCATGTCCCTGATCTGGTACTCGATGTCCTGGGGCTGATCCCCCACTGGCACCTTGGTGATCCCCGGGAGGTCAATCAGGGTCAGGTTCAACACTGGAAGGAGGAGACACAACCCACATCAGGGGCCCAACGTTGGGCTCTCCAGATGGATCTGCTGACAGATCCACCCCTTGGAAGCCTGAGATGATCCCTCAAGGTAGAATTCCCACTGAGTTTGTCCATGAGTGAGGAGGGTCAAGCAGCCTCCAAGGTTGGGAGATCAACCAGACACCCTGAACACTCAATATTTGCTTTTAGGATTCAGGATGGGCCAAATCCTCCCCCTGGCCAGGGTGTCCTTTTGGAGCAAGATCCACCTCCCCGACCCAGGGGATGGATCCACCTCCCCAACCCAGGGGGAGGGATCCACCCCCCAGGCCCACGGGGGAGGGATCCACCCCCCAGGCCCACGGGGGAGGGATCCACCCCCCAGGCCCACGGGGGAGGGATCCACCCCCCAGGCCCACGGGGGAGGGATCCACCCCCCAGGCCCACGGGGGAGGGATCCACCCCCCAGGCCCACGGGGGAGGGATCCACCCCCCAGGCCCACGGGGGAGGGATCCACCCCCCAGGCCCACGGGGGAGGGATCCACCCCCCAGGCCCACGGGGGAGGGATCCACCCCCCAGGCCCACGGGGGAGGGATCCACCCCCCAGCCCCACGGGGGAGGGACCAATAACCCCGGGGACATCACAGCTTCACGACAGGGGAAATTAAGGAAAAAGAAACATTAAATTCCTGGAAAAAAAGACCAGGGAATTGGGTTTTATCCCGTTTGAAGGCAGAGGGGAAGGACTCAACTCACCGTGGGGTGAGTAGACACGGAGGTTGATGGGGACAGGGGAGATGCCCTTGTTGGTCCCCGTCACCCGGTCGGTCTCCGCCTCGATCTCCTGCCGCACCTCGTCGAAATCCGTGAACTTCTTGGACTTGCAGTGGAGGAACTCGGCATATTCTGGGGTGGAAAGGAGGAGAAGGACACACGTTCAACCCAAAGGAAGAGAAGTTGGGCAGCACGGGAGGAACGAGGAGGTTTGGAGGTGGTTTTGGTGCTGAGAAACATGGAGGAGCCGGGAGGGAAAGCACTGAGGAGCTGCCCGGGGGTGAACAGGGTTGTAGGATCATGGGATGGGTTGGGATGGAAGGATCTCTAAGACCATCCAGTCCAACCCCACCATGGGCAGGGACACCTCCCAGCAGCCCAGGTTGCTCCAAGCCTCATCCAACCTGCCCTTGGACAGGGATAGGGAAGCCACCCTGAAGATCACCTATGGATCATTTATGTGGTCTTCAAGGTCCTTTCCAATCCAAACCATTCCATGATCTAAATACCACCCAGACCCACCCCTCTGGATGAGCAGGGACCCCTCCCAGCAGCCCAGGTTGCTCCAAGCCCCATCCAACCTGCCCTTGGACATTTCCATCATCCACAGCTTCTCCAGGAAACCTCTTCCAGGGTCTCCCCACCCTCAGAGTGAAGGAGTTTAATGGAATCATGGAATTATTTGGGGTGGAAGGACCTCAAAGCTCATCTAGATCCAACCCCCACCATGGGCAGGGACACCTCCCAGCAGCCCAGGTTGCTCCAAGCCCCATCCAACCTGCCCTTGGACACTTCCATCACCCACCACTTCTCCAGGAAGCCTCTTCCAGGGTCTCCCCACCCTCATTTTCCCCTCCCATCTATCCCAATCTCCCTTCTTCCAACTCCAAACCATCCCCACTTCTCCCATCACTCCATGTCCTTGTCCCAAGTCCCTCCCCAGCTTTCCTGGAGCCCCTTCAGGTCCTGGAGGTACCTCCTGGAGGCACCTGAGGGCACCAGAGGTAACTACTAGAGGCATCTAAAGGTAATTCCAGTGCCATCTCCCCATTCTAGGGCCACCACCACCACTTCCCAATTCCAACCAGCAGAAACAAGGAACTTCTGGACATCCAGCCCATGGGCAGGAGGTTATGGAACGTGGCTCCAGTGACCCCTCCAGCTCCCAACCAAAGGAACCGTGTTTCCTTCTGGGAAAGGAGCAATTCCCCCTGGAAATGGGGCTCCTGACTGGGAAAAGAAGCCCCACGTCCTGCCCCTCCGTGTCCCCAAGGCCCATTTCCCAACCCTAGAGTCAAACTTGCCCAGATCCCAACTCCTGGGATAATGAGCCCACGTGGGAAGCAGGAATTGTCTCCTGGAAGAGGAGCAGGATGGACTGGAATGTGTCCCAGCTCCACCCCAGGCCCCACTCTGATGGACTTGGCCACAACAACCTCCAGCTTGTGGCCACTTCCTGAGGGATCGACATTCCCAAATCCCCTGGGAGGAGGGATCCAGACAACCACGACATGGCAAACCCAGGAGCCTTTTCTCCTGGCCATTCCCACCTTCTCCCACCTTACCTGTCTTGGAGAAGATGAGCTGCAGGATGAGAGGCCGTCGGGTGACGATCCCGGAGCCGCGGGGAAGAAAATCCCTGCAAAGAACCCAAGGAATGTCAGGGCTGCCATTTCCTGATGGGTTGGATCAGTTCATTAACCCTCAGGTCGTTAATTAGGTGATTCACACTGTGATTTATCAGGTAATTAACCCTGCTACGTTGATCATCCGGTATCTAAACCACGGGATGATGAGCTGGAGAAGACCTGGATCCCACCTGGAATTGCTGGAAGGGGCCAAAGGAGCAGGGACACCTTGGGAATGTGACCCCCTGGGGCCCAGCTCAGGGGGGGGATCCCACCCCATTCCCTGTGGGAAAGGGGGCAGAATGGAGCCCCACGGCCTAGAGGAGCCACTGGAGGAGGGCTGAGCACTTCCCACATCCCAGGGAATTCCTGGATGGGGAAATTCGGGAAGGGCTTTCCCAGTTGGTGGGAGTTTCAGGGGGGATGAACCCATCGACTGTTCTTTGGGCCCTAATTCCACCTGTTTCACCCCCAAAAAAGGACTCGACCACGGAAATGCTTTCCCAGGAGAGAATTCCCAGGGGGTTTGATGTCGTGGGAATGGGGGGGGGTTGATTTCTTGGGAATGGGGGGGTTGATTTCTTGGGAATGGGGGGATCATTCCCCTTGGGAGGGGTTGGA